AGAGAGAGAGAGAGAGAGAGAGAGAGAGAGAGAGAGAGAGAGAGAGAGAGAGAGAGAGAGAGAGAGAGAGAGAGAGGTCCGGCGAACTGCACAGGGCCCTGTGCGCAGATCGCTGGGGAACACTCTCTCTCCGTCTCTTTCACCACACACACACAAATGGGAATGCATCTTCCCGCTTTCGGTGCATTCCCGTTTAGCACCTCTCTCCCTCTCTCTCCCTCTCTCTCCCTCTCTCTCTCACTCTCTCTCCCCCTCCCTCCCTCCTCTGTTCGTTTATTTCATGTGATTTCTTACTGTTTTTTATTTCTCTTTTTTTTTTTTTTTTTTCCCTTTTTTTTGTGTGTTTTCACAATTGAAGAAGTCTCGCTACCGGTAGCGTGAGGCTCCGCAAGGCTCGGCTTACCGGTAGCAGAAGACTCGGCAAGGCTCGGCTTACCGGTTGCAGGAGGCTTGGCATCAATGGCTGAGAAAGGAACTGGTGGTTTAATAATGTGCGATTGAAGAGAAGATGTGGTATTCTAAAATTAATATACAATTATAAATACTACTTTCAATATTTTTGAGTGGTGCAAGTTCCATTTATGTTGCAGAAAGGCCAGACCGTCCTTCGTTTATTGACTTGAATTAACGGCGAATGCGGCATATTTTGAAACTCTGAAGTGAAAAAAAACTCGCGACGGTAAAGAAACCACACACCAACTCGAAATGAGGGATTTCTGTCCAAAAGTACCCGCTGGGCTTTTTTTGTTTGTTTGTTTGTTTTCCCCTCTGACACTGCGGCCGACCCCTGTAAATCAATATGACACCATGGGCGTCGATACTTCCGTTGCCTTTCCAAACTCGGCGGGGTTTTCTTTGCCGACGCGTGTTTTTTTTACGCATTCGATACTCAAAGGTGACATGAATGCTGTTACCCCTATTGAGTTTTTGTAAATTTTATAAACTTTATTTGAGTGAGTCTATCTCTAACATCCGTGTGCGCTGCCGCATTTGCGGGCTCAAGGTGATTGTAGTTTTTCCTGTTGATGCGAGGTCCGAAGGATTGATTGGAGCGCGTTAAACCACCAGTACCCAAGGGGGTCTTAGGCCCCCTCTGGGGCGGCTCTGAGGCAAATGCATATGGACCTGCGTGGCTCAACGATTCAGCCACCGCGTTAACGGCCTAAAAACATGGAGGTACTGGTGGTTTTAAATGGACATTTTGTGTGACGTGTCTAATGGATATTGAATTGTTAGTCGGATTGCCTTCTTCACCCGAATACAATGTGTGGTCATTGTAGCTGTGTATTTGGGGCATCTTTCAGTCTAAGGGTCTCGTTAGACACTCCTAAAAGATTCCTAAATTCTTTAGGATGAGTCCTAAAAGAATTTTAGGATTTGCTGCGGCGTCGTTGCACGCAATCCTAAAAAAATTCTTTTAGGAACCGTCCTAATGGGTCTCCGGCGGCCAGTTCTCATATACGTATACGGAGCCGCGCCGTCGATGTCCGCCCATTGCAGCCTGATGTCTGTGGTACAGACGGCGGTGGGCCCTGGCCGGTTGAGGACGGGGAGGTGAGAAGAGCGCGAAGGAAGACATTCGAAAATTCGAATTCGAATTTTTGTGGACGCAAGGAGGCGGGCTGGAGGACGGGCAGGTGACGTGTACGACGTACAAATGACGGCGGTGGTGATCCCCTTGCTTGGCGAGCCGTCTTTCGCCTCTGCGTGAGTCGTGGGCGGCGTGCGAAGTGTCGTGTGGCAGGGAAGAGCACCGGGCTCATCTTCGGCAGCGCTGGCAGGCGTTACCCGTGAGAGGCGAATGGGTGATGGAGATGGACGTTCGCGGCGGCGGACATGGGTTGTGTGAAGAAGAGAGGGAGGCGGTGGCAATGGCGGTGACTGCCGTAGTCCTCGACACGGTGAGCGACATGTCGTCCACAGACCGCGACATGCGTTTGCAGCTGCGGAAACGTAGAGCACTGTTGCAACGCGTCGTTGAAGCGCCGGGTTGCGTGGCGACGTCTGAAGCGGTTGTGCAGTTGTGCTCGGCGCTCTCCTCCGGCGTTTTCCCGCGCCAGACGCTGTGATGGTGGATAAAGCAAAGGACTGACGGACCTTGGGAGGATCTTCGGCTGTGTGACGACTCGACTGACGACTATTCCGCGACAAGCTGCGTATGTCCAGGGCTGTCTTCATGCAGATGTTTGCCGCATGCGCCGCACACGTTGAGAAGAAGGTGACACATTATAGGATGCCATTGCTTGTGGAGCAGGTCATTGCTTTCGCGTTGTACAGGTGGGCGTCCGGGGAGACGTACGAGAGTGACACGTCAGCCTTCGGCATCGGCAGGGCCACTGGACTGCAGGCCATCCGCGATGTAACTTCGGCGCTGTTGAAGGCGTACCCCGACTGGATCAAGTGGCCTGTGGGGCGGAGATGTGTGCAGATACTGCGCACTTTTCTGGCGAAGGGTTTCCCGAACTGCTTCGGCGCAATCGACTCCACGCACGTGTACATTGACAAGCCCGCCGACGCGCTGTCAGATAACTACTACGACCGCAAACAGAAGTTCTCCGTCCAAGCAGAGGTGGTAGTCGATTTGGATCTGCGTATCCTTGACGTCCATGTTGGATACCCGGGTAGTGTGCACGACGTCCTTGTCCTGCACAACTCCCATTTGTGGAGGCACGCAGAAAGTGGGGAGCTGTTCGACGCCCCTCCGGAGAATCTGCCACACAGTGTCGTCACGCGAGGTTGCCTTCTTGGCGACAACGGGTACCCCGTTGCTGGTGTGTGAAGAGGGCGTTTGGGCGTTTGAATTGCATGTGGCGTCTATTCCTGCGCACCCACAAAACGAACTTGGAGACCTTGCTGCAGCAATTTGTCGCCATTTGCACTCTCCACAACATCCTCTTGGACGCGGGGATCGAGTTCGACGAGAACCTGCTGTGGGAGGTGGATGGCAACGGCGTCCAGCGTAGAGTGGACTTGGCTATTGTGGGAAACGGCGCGGGCGGGCGGCAACGAAGCGCGAACGTTGACGGGGACCTCTTGCGGGATGCACTTCGAGACCGGCTGGTTTTGACGTAGGAGCGTGCAGAGGGATGGGGGGGGGTTGATATGAAGAACGTGGAGGCGCCACGGCGCCACGTTCGCTATGGCGGGCGGCAGGGTAGGGATGATGAAACCGACGATTAGCCTACTGTGAGATGGTCAGTGGTCCACCCGTTCGCACGCCAAGGGGGGGGGGAGGGGAGGGGATTGGGATGGGAGGTTGGAGTGTGCCGCGGTGCATCGAGAGTGGACTTCGCTTTGTTTTGTGCTTTCTCGTGTTCTCGGATCACCAGCGGTGTGCAGGTTATCGTCCAACAGTTCGTGATCCATGACGACAAGTGCCCGGGTGTCGTGTGTCATCATTAGTTTTTTGAATTCGCATTGGTTTGTGTTGCACCTCCTGGGGGTGTGCGGTCTTTCACCGGCGATCGGGTGGCGTGTAGTTGTTGTTTAGAGTAGATGGTTGCAAACCTTGGGCGGCGCAGCCGGTTTCTATAAGTTAGGACTCGATGATTAGCTTGAAGTGGTGGAATGGCTTGCAGTGGTTCGTTGTCTCTCGTCAGTCGTTTAGTCGTCCGTGGAGGCGAACAATGTGTTTCTCTTTGAATGTACTTCAATGCAAAGGTTCATTTATTTCGCCATTGCCCTTTGCCGCGTTCAATTTAAAAATATTGGCATGCATTTTGATGATATGATGTATCCCAATTTCATGGCGCTTGTTGTGTTCATTTCGTCGCACATTCCATTTCCACAAAACCACAAAAAAAAACAAAAGCCAATGCACTGCAATGGGGATCGATTGCAAACGTGACAACATTCACTCATTGCAGAGACGACAAGCCTTGTAAGGTCTTTTGAAAATGAGACACTAAAATGTCGCTGAACTGCAAAAATTAATACCATTCACCTGTAAAAGAAGTCACACATTCGTCTGAACGCGAACTGTGAATGGGTGAGTGACGTTGAAAAAAAACTGCCATAACATCTAATACTAGTGCACATCAACAGCGGCCGTCCCGGGAGGGCATGAACACGCGCATGGCGTGAGCATTCCCTAAAAAAAAATAAACAACAAAATAAAAACAAATGCACTGGACCGCCCTGCCGACCGAACTCAGAACCGCGACCTACCTTGCAATGACCACACAAAAAACAATTCGCCACCGCCGACGAATAAGGGGCGACAGTAGGGACGTGAACTCGCCACCTTTGTTGCAACCGGACCCGCCAGCTGCCACCGTCTGCGACCACATCTGCGTCGACCCGCTACCCAAAGGTAACGTTGTGAGTTCCTCCGTCTCCATTTCCTCGTTCGACGGGGGCAGAGGCTGCTCGTGTGCTTGGACGTGCATGCGGCAGCGCTTGGACGTGTTTTTATTTTTTTACTTTCTTATTGTTTTTGGCCCGGCAGTGCATGCGGCAGCGCTGCTTGACCGAGTGCTCGCACCTGCTAGATGTGTGCTAGGTGCAAGCACATGCGCAGTCGTGGGAAGAGCGTGGACTTAGCGGGGTATCGGCGGTGGTCCTTGGTGAAGGAGGAGTGTGGGGGAGAAGATGAGGGTGAGCATGTAGATGGCGAGTGGGGAGGTGATGTGAGAGCACGTGCCTGGTCCTGGCAGAGGTCTGCATGAGCAACATCTGCATGCACTTCGGTTGCTGCTGCTGACGTCAACCGGATGCTTTGTCTTTTTGTAGGCTGGCTGTGTAGCTGTAGTATTGTAGTCTGGGCGCTGAGCGCCAGTAGGGAGGAAGAGCTTCGAGTACATTGTTGGTGGTGGCGAGAGAGGGAGGTCTCTCATTGACAATTGAGTTCACTGCTTTGGTTATCCTTCGGTGTCATTTCAGTGCATTTCTGCTTTTTGGACAGCTTACGACTATCTGGCATTCAGTGATGACAGGGCATACCGAGGTAGATAGATAGGTTTGTCAGTTCGGGGAAACAGGTTTTGAGCCTGGGTCATCTGCAGTGTAGGATGTGCACCGGTGGTACTGGCCCTTGAGCCCGGGTCAGTCGATTTGTGGGGTCGGTTGTTTGTTGTTGATGTGGCTCAAGGGTGTGTTGTTTGCTATAGCACCTTGGGATTGTCATTGGCAAAGTTGTGTCCGCGTAGGAATTTCCGGCGGGCCGTTGAGCCCGGGTCAGTTGCATTGTAGGATATGTTTGGGTGGTACCGGCCCTTGAGCCGGGGTCGGTTGACTTGAGGTGTGGTGTGTTGTTGATTTGGCTCACTGGTGTGGTGTTGTGTCGTGTGCCTTGGGATTGGCATAGGCCCCTGCAGCCCGAGCCTGGTGCTGTTTGGTTTGGATTTTGGCTGGGAATTTGGTTCTGTTGGGGGATGAAGTCATGTCAGGAAAGTTACCCCGTGCCTGCCTGGGACGTACGGACCCAACACCAGGACGAGAAGGGGATTTATTATCCGATTTAAGCAACGATCGGAGTCGAGCTAGTCCTCTTTCAGTCCACTTCGGATCGTTGTGTTGTTTCTGTGAACGAAGAGGGAGCTGCGAAGACCAAGTTATGTTAGATGAGGAAACCACAGTGTATTACCTGAGGAGCTAGTGAGACGGCTCCCGAAGGCTCCAACAAACACGAAACTTGACACACACAAATGCGACCAAAAAAAAAGGGGCCAAAAAATAAAATAAAATTGAAAGATAGAAAATGAAGGGGGGGGGCGGGGGGGGGAGGGGAGGGTTGAAAAATGGGGGTCCCTGTCAACCACTTGTGTGTATTAAATGTGCATTGACTTCGGTGGTTGTTTTTCTGATTTTTTTGGGGGGGAAATTGTGGAGTTTTTTTTTTTTTTTTTTTTTTTTTGAAATGTTGCACTGTAAGGAGTAGAATACCGTTCAATGAACATGTTCCAAATTTTGAGACCGTATGTGTGATAGCGATTGGTTGAAACTTGAATGCTTCAATCCGATCTGTTGGTCCAGGATGGTAACAAGGCGGCGGCAAACCAAGCCACACCTACATCACACTGCAGAGCAGGCGGAAAGCTCACGGACACACGACTGAGTGCGTACTTGACGCGAACCCCCAACCGAAGCAAGAGGACAAAACAATTTGGGAAAAGGGTGAAATCAAATTCCAACCCAAGATACTTAGCTGTTCGGATTTTTCCCTGTAAAAAAAAACAAAAACAAAAAAGAAGGCAAAAAGAAAGCAAAAAAAAGCAAAAACAAACCAAAAGTGCCCCTTTGTCTTTCCTGCTTAATGCTTCTATATTTTGCCCTTCTGCCGTCCCTCCCTCAGCCTGGGCATCCCGTTGTACGTGATGTACGTGGACACGTGTCGTACGCCCCCCCCATACTGCGCATGATTTAAACGTGTGCGCAGAACAGCTTCTTTTTCTTTTTTCTTTTTTGATTTTTATCTCAAAATTGGTTTTGTATTTCACTTTTTGTCCGAGGCAAAAGTTGTTTAGAATAGTGTTCTCTATTACATATAGTTTTTTTCAGAAGTTTCTGATAACATTTTATTTTATTTTTTTCACAAAAGTGGTGCTGCGGGTGGAGTACAATGGAGTACAACACGGAGCACAACGTCTGTACAATTGAGTACAACGCCGGTACAAAAAATCATTTTTTTCTGTACCCGAGGCATGCCTAGCCCTCAGTGGCACTTTTGGATCACTGCACATCCGTCGCCTTCAGTGAGTCTGTTTCAGTCATTCTGCCATCTTCAGCCAAATAGAACCCTTGGTAATAACCACTGCATGTGGACGGAAAGTTGCCCCAAATACAGCTATAATCTATGGCACCATGCCTGCACCGCTGTGCATGCCCGGGCGGGCATCCGTGCAGGTTTGCCCGGGCGTCCGCCTGTGCAGGGCACCCTGCACATGTAGAAGTTCAGGGATTTTTTTTATTTTTTTTTCCCTGTCAGTCGGGCTTTTCGGCGTTGGCTAGGTAGGGCTGCTCTTATCACTGCGCTTCCTTCTGCATTCTGACCTCCCTCGCCCCTACGGGCACCTGCCTCGTCCTCTGTTGCCATTTGTCCTGAATCCTGCATACAACAGAGGTTTTCCCGGGGACCACACCTTCCTAGCATCCGACCTGGAGTTTTCGGGAAAAAAAAAGAAAAAAAAAAAGAGGGGTCAGATTTTTTTCTGGGTGGCTACAGGGGGTTGCGTTCTTATCGCCCTTCCTACAGTCTTAAACCACCAGTTCTTCCTCGAGTCGTGCCCGTTAATGCGCCACGATTTCGGAAACGTACGGGCTACTACAGGAGCGCCCAAATTCATCCGACTAGAAACGTTTCTACTCTTTTTTTTCCCGCGGCCAATAGCTGGGCCAAGTACTGGTGGTTTAACCCGAAAACAAGGTATGTACCTTGTATTCGTCTTACCTCCGAAAAATGGGTTCTAAGAAATCACTGTTACATTTCGAATAGACAAGTGGACCCGCGCAGCTACGCTGCGGCAGTGGAGGCAGAGCGAAGGCGGAGGCACGGAGGATGGCGAGGGGAAGATAGGAAAGCAGTGAAAGGAAGAAGGGATGGGAGGAAGGGGGGAGTGAGAAATGTTGGGTGCAAAAAAAAAAAAAAAAAAAAAAAGAATGACGAATGTACGTGTCTCTCTCTTTTTCTCTCCCTGTCTCCCTCTCT